ACAAAAACAGTGGTCGCGATGGGAATGCGCGAGGAAAGCTGCTGGCGCACGGCCCTTCCTGGGAGCGGCTTGTTCCTGGCCACAGATCATCCACAACACTACTCGTAGTATACTATAAGTAATGGCTGCATCTGCAAAAAAGAACGCCTGTCAACTCACCAATGCCTTCACTTGGAATTGTCAAAGATTTTAAAACATGAAGGATATCATAATATTGCATGAGCATAAATCGTTGAACGCAAACCGCAATTACTTAAATCACCATCGTCCAGTCGTCTTCCGCCTCAAAACCACCAACCCCTCATCACCTGTTATTCCTCTCCTCCAAATCCTTCTCCTTGGGGTCACCGATACCATCCTCATTGATGGCAAACAAGCAATCGCTCTCAGGCAAACACGGGCTGTCATAGATCTTGCAGACACGCGTCTCTCCTCTGCCCTTCCTCAAGCTGAGACGGGTCGTACTTGCGTGTGCAATAATGTTTCCTCCAATAGGCTTCTTTGGGTCTGGGTTAAACATGGCGCTTGGCCCACCGTCGACCTGTGCAACGACTTGGTTCGTGATGATGACGGCGATTCCAAACTCGTCCGCAAGCCGTTGTAAGGTGCGCATGAACTTGGCCAAGTGCGTTTGTCTTGCAGAGAGCTCTCCACGTCCTGCAAAGTCTGTACGATATAATGCGGTGGCAGAGTCGACGACCAGCAACGAAAAGCGCGTCTCGGTCATCATTTGCGCGGCCTGGTTGAGGAGCTCCAGCTGATGGTCAGAGTTGTATGCGCGAGCATACGCAACGTTGTCGAGAACCTCTTCGCCCGAAAGTCCGAACCGATTTGCAACGGCCAAACATCGGACTGGTCGGAAAGTGCCCTCGGTGTCAATGTATAGACATTTGCCTTCTCCGCCTCCCATATCGAAAGGCAACTGGCAGGTGACAGCCAGAGTGTGGCAGATCTGACTTTTCCCTGTTCGGAATTCGCCAAATATCTCTGTGATGGAGCCCGTCTCAATGCCTCCTGCAAGGAGCGTGTCCAACTGCTTCGATCCGGTTGTAATGGATATTAGTTCGCTTCTGCGCGAATGCATCTCCGTGGCGGTGGTAAAGCCCATAGGTACAAGTTTCGACGCTGAATCCGTTAGCAGCAGGTACCTGAGCCGGTACTTTGAGCCATACCCTCAGCTAGTAACTTGGACGCCTTTTGTTCTGATATACCCTTGATCTGTTCGAGCGTTCGTCGCGGCCTGGTAAGCGTTAGTGGCGGAGCAGGATGTGACACAGTGCCCAACGTACGTGTAAGCAATGGATTCCACTGTGTTGAAACCTCCCTCGACTACTAGTTTGATATCGCGTGCCGTGAGTCCATTGACACCCTGAATTACTGTCAGCATCCACCAAGGTACGAAGAATGATTTGGGGCCTACCTCAAGCGCAGAAACGGGCGTTGGGGCACCAGGGCCGCCCATTGTGCTGTCGTCATACTGCTCCTCTTCGTTGCTCATCTTGGCAAGTTGTCGAGTATAGGTATTTCAGAAATGTAGTGGCAAGTGGAAGAATCCAAGTTGTGAAATTGTGTGAACGTGCAAGTCTAAATGCTTGAAAGGGAAGGACGAGTGGCGAGCGGGCACGGAATGTCGTCGCGTCTCACTAGCGCTGAACGCGCACTCACATGACCCGAAGAAATTGCCACACGCCAGGCTTCCACGGCTTTGCCTGGCACTACACAACAACACTGCACAATGTGTCACGCTCCACTGGTCACGTGTCCATATGTCTTATTCTTATTCTCAATTCTCTATGTATTCATGGTATCATTGTACTCTAAACCCTCTGACAAAATTCAACAGACCTACTCGTCGTCGCCAAAGAACACCTTGACGGGCAGCCAGGCGTCTCCGCAAACCTTGAAGCGCTCAGGCAGCGAGCTAATCTCCTTCATCTCCTCATCGGTCAACTCCCAGCCATCAAGCTCAAAGTTGCCCATGATGCGAGATGCTGTGACAGACTTGGGGATGACGCTGGTGCCGCGCTGGAGACCCCACATCAGCAGGACCTGCTGGACAGACTTTCCTTTGCTCTCGGCAAGCTTCTTGAGCTTCTCGTTCTTGTACAGAGGAGAGTCGGTGGAGCCAAGGCATGAGTAGGCGGTGCAGTGGATGCCCTTCTCCTTGCAGTAGTCGAGGAGCTTGGGCCTGCATCAGTTGTCAGTCTTTGTATCATTATATGATGTGAGTGAGTCTAGCTTACGAGGGGTTGTTGGGGTGGAGCTCGATCTGGTTAACAGCAGGCGTGATCTTGAACCGGGAGTCGGCGAAGAGCTTCTCGAGATTCTTGATAGCGAAGTTGGAGACACCGATGTTCTTCACGCGGCCAGATTCAGGCAGCTTCTGCATCTCAGCCCAGGTGTCCTTGAAGTCCCAGTCGGGGTAGTGCTTCTTCAGGTCATCTGGGTCGGTCGACGAGGGCCAGTGCTATGAGTTGTTAGCATTTTACCTTATTGGAAACCGTGATTGCACAGGAATAAACATACCATGAGGTAGAGATCGACGTAGTCGAGGCCAAGGCTGCTCAGCGAGCTGTTGATGCCTTCTTCGACGCGCTTGTGCCATGGGTTGTCGAGCTTGGTGGTGACCCAGATCTCCTCACGGGGAACACCAGAGTCCTTGATACCCTGGCCGACTTCCTTCTCGTTGCCATATGCAAGTGCAGTGTCAATGTGACGGTAGCCGCCCTGGAGAGCAGCCTTGACAGCTTCACGGACCTCACCAGGCTTTGACTGCCAGGTTCCGAGGCCAACAGCAGGAATCTTTGCGCCAGTGTTGAGCTGTAACCAATTAGTTTCTGTTTGACTGGCATTGGCTCATGCATAGGTGAGAGGTTGAATGACTTCAGCTCTTCAACCCAATCGTAGGGCGATTGCGATGTCTAGAGAAGATACATTCTCTGGTATGGCTGATGCGGGTGGGGGTTACAGATGCACTTACCGTAAAGCTCTCCTTTGTCCAGTTCTTGGGTGCCATTCTTGCTAGAGTACGGAGCATAAGATTGGGAAATGTAAAGTTTGTAGTGTAGGAAGGATGGGAATTGGAAGAAAGTGAAATCTTTTGAATGGCGGCGCAAGTGGAGGGGCAACGCGTCGTGTAACACCCCTCCTACGTCAGTCTCAACATTCATCCACCTTGCAAGGGCATGTCCCGAGCACAAATAAGCACCGGCATAAATGCTCCACGTATCAGCGCCTGACTTGTCCGCGGATGGAGCAAAGCTGGTGGGGAACCACTCGTTGGCGCTAGTGCGAATGCGGTATCCTTTCCAGCCTCGCTGTCCCGACACCAAATCTGTGGGTTTGAGGAACCACTGCGCCGCTCTCAACAACCTGCGCTAGCCATATGCGTGTGGGTCGGAATGTCTTCAGGGTTCGTCAGTGGTGGCAATGCCGGGGAGGAAGTGCAACGCGACGATGAGTGGAAAAGAGCGCAGCAGGAAATTGAAGATGCCAGACGTGCCAAAGCCGAGCTAGCAAAGCAGCACGACGGCAAGAGTCTGTACGAAGTCTTGCAGGCCAACAAGGACAAGAAGCAAGCCGAGTTTGAGGAGAAAGCGCGCTACAAGCTCCATGTCGCCCTTGACGACGAGGAAGCCGACTATCTGGATTCAATCCTTGAGAAGAAGCGCCTGGAAGAAGCCAACGTCAAGAAAGAAACTACTGAGCAGCTGGATCTATTCCGACGGCAGCGTGAAGAGGCGGAGAGAAAGGCGCGTGGGCTTGAGGAGGAGAGTGCAGAGCCGACACAGGAGCATGGTGCCGACCAGTGGGCAGTTGCTGGAAAGAAGAGGAAGAAGGGGCCTGAAACCGGACTACTCAAGGGCGTGAAGCTGAGGAAATCGAGTTCCGTCCCAGAGGAGCAGAAGCCTGCTGAGAAATCACAGTCGACGACAGAGACAACCCAGCAAAAATCAACAAACATTCCTTCCCAGGCGAATACAAAGGTCAACACCACAAGTTCCGCAAAACTACCTGTCGCCAATGTACAGCCCTCAACAAATGCGTCTGCGTCCAAGACAGGAAATGCACTTTCACTCGGGCTGGGCTACACCTCTTCCGACGATGAGGACTAGTTCCTCTGTCAGCTGTGCTGTAAGTTTGGGCTTCTAGTATCAACAAAATATGGAGCTCATTCCAGTCGTCCTATTTGGAGTTGCTACATTTCCAATGTCGCCCTCTTGAGAACCGTATAGCTGGCAATGGAAAATCAAATCAACAAGACAGTGTGGTTTTCGAGAAGAAAACACATACAAATGCCAGATCGGGAGATTGACAAGAATACATTCAAGTCGAAATGCAGTTGGTTTACGCAAAAGCAGCTAGATGGGTAATAGCCCGGCTAAAGTACATACTTGGTATGTATTTCCATGACGCTGATGTGGCTCATGGGAGCAAAGTTTCTAGAAGCAAATGTACCACTCGTGTACTTATTCTTACTTTCTGGTAAATCTGCTCGGTCTTTGGGAAATTCACAATCATCAGGTGCAATAGATGTGTTGGTCTTGCAACCAATACAAAAGGGCTGGCGGCGTGTTGATTCCAAGGCTCCATACCAGGTCTCTAGCACACAACACCCAAAAGCATCCTACCATGCATGATAATCCAACTTCCCATTTAGAAATATATTCCCCATTCAACTCTCCCAAACCGTTGTTGCAAAAATAAAACAATTCCTTTACCCACCTAAGACGCTTTGGCCATGATGTCACGACAGGGATGTTCTCGGCCGTGCTTACTTGCCTCCGTAGTACGTATCTATCTATTCGCAGCGATACTGATGCAACGACACAGCCCCAAGTACCATCTCAACCCGTCACTAGCCATCTAAACCAAGACTCCTTCCCGATTTTAAAACTTGCTGAGTCAGAGTACAGCTGCGAGAAATGACACTGTGATCACTTACGCACCTTGATCTACCAAAAACCGTGTTCGCGACGCGTTTACATTTGCAACAAAATATGGCGCATCCATCTGGGTCGAACGAGGCCTCGCCTCTGCTTGGCGATGATAGTAGTAGGACGTCTGTTGCTGCAGACCAAGGAGGCTCACAGGAAGAGCCCGAAACAATGAATATGCGGTTGATCTTCAAGATCGCAGCGGCAATGTACTCATTCGCCACACTCGGGTTATTCAACTCATCCATTGGTGCTGTCCTCCCTTTGCTGTCGCAATACTACAACCTCAGCGACATCCAAGTGTCTTCTATATTTCTGGCTGGACCCATTGGATACGTATTCGCCGCGCAATTCAGTGATGCCGTACACTACCGGTTTGGGCAGCGGGGTATCGCTTTTGCGGGGCCCCTCCTGCAAGTCGCTGCCACTGCTATGGTAGCAGCGCATCCGGGCTTCGGGGTGATACTGGTAGCGTTTGCGTTTCAGGGTCTGGGGACTGGATTGCTCGATGGGAGTTGGTGCGCGTGGGCAGGGAGCATGAAGAAGGCGAATACGATTTCTGGGTTGTTGCATGGGAGTTATTCTGTTGGTGCGGCATTGGGTCCTCTGCTCTTGACTATGTTGACTGCTAGGCATCGGGATTGGTGGACTTGGTATTCGATTCTGGTAAGTGGATTATGAGATGTTTGCGATAATATACTAACTGGGTGAAGGCTGGAGCGTGCGCATTGTCATTCATAGTCCAGGTCGCTGCTTTCCTACACGAGAGCGCATCTGTCTACCGCCAGAGCAAGCAGTCAAAGTTGTCTGACTCCAAGGTTGACCTCAGAGAAATATTCAAGCACCCAGCTACTTGGCTCTGTGCAGCCTTCTTCCTCACCTACGTTGGCGTAGAAACTTCCATCTCTGGGTGGGTAGTTTCATTCATGCTTCGTGAGCGACATGCGAGTGACTATATAGCTGGTCTCTCTTCCTCGGGCTACTGGATAGGTATGGCTATTGGGCGGTTAGTTCTGGGATTCGCCACGGATAGGATGGGTGTACGACGCGCGACCACCCTTTACTTCCTCTCTGCTATCGTTTTTGAAGCTCTGTTTGCAGCTTTCACATCTCTGGAGGCCTCTATAATTTTCATGACGGCAACTGGCTTCGTTCACGGTCCGTTGTTTCCCTCTGGAGTTGTGGTGTTGACGAGATTGTTGCCAGCAGAGCTACACGTCGCAGCTGTCTCCTTTGTTGCATCTCTGGGTCAAATTGGAGGCGCGGTTTTGCCCTTTGCCATCGGTGCCGTGGTGCAAGGTCTGGGTATTGGAGTTTTTCGATTCGCAATTCTCGTTGAGACATTGGTGGCATTGTTGGTATGGTTTGCCTTTGCGAGACTCCGTCCGGCGCTCCTTCCCATATCTGCGGCACATACCCAGGACTGAATGTAGACTGCCCTGTATCAAGTAGCATGTTTTCAGCTATGATACGCGCCTCGGAAGGCCAATGGTCTGAGTTGACTAGCTCATTGGATATAAGTGATTGTGTGGTTTGGAGTATCGTTCTCAGCTAAATTTTGCAAGATTCCAGACGGAAGGGACATCGTCATCTAGTGTTCAAAGTGGTGTACGTAAGAGAGAAGTCTCTATTGAGAAAGAGCATGCGCTACTACACTGCATGCATACGCAAAACGGCAAGTTGTTCCTTCGCCGTCCAAATCCCACAAGGAACAATCTCAAGTCTGTTCTTCCGTGGCTATCCCCGCTGTATCCATCTCAACCTGATGTACATAGTTCCCCGTAATTTCGTAGTGCTAAAAAAAAAGTTCAGACATGTAACCGTCATAATCTGTTTAAAAATCCAACTGCGTACACAAAATATCTTTCTCAAATAGGAGTGACTCTATTTATCATGAGATCCACATATACTAGCCAGAGAGCATGCTTTACCATAAGACTTTTTGAAATAGATGAAGCGCTGAATCAACTCGATCATTCATAGAAACAAAAGCTCCCGTATAGAACCCTACGCTTCAATCCTATGCTCAAAAAGTTCTCCACACATTCCGAACATGCTAGGCTCCACCAGGTCAGCCTACATTACCCGGGACTGAGCGGATTGGCCCAAAACCTTATGCTCTGCCGTCATCCCACCACATATTAGGCAGGTACGAGCCACCCAGTCGAAAATAACAAACAAAACCCCCTCAGAGTCGCTGGCTCAAAAAAAACCCAAAGGGGGCCCCTCAACCTCTCATAGTCTAAGCAACGCAACGAAGGCTTCCAAAATGCTCATCTTCCCTGTCCTCATAACGTTCCTTCTCGCCGCACCATCAGCAGCAGAAAACCCACCAAGCAGTGCAAACGCAGCGTGCTCCCGTTTAAAACACCGGTTTCCGGAGCACACTTTTCTCCCTGGCACACAAGGCTACGCATACGAAACGCATTCGCGTACGTCTCCATTTCCTCTTCCTTCATGAAAATTCCACCCATAAGCATGTCTTTTACTAACGGCATACATATGTAGCATATTGGTCAGCAACCACCTACAGCACCCCATCCTGTGTCTTTGTACCCCAAAATGCAGACCAAGTCTCGTACGCAGTTGCTACTGTGACGCTCACGCAGGTGAAGGTGGCGGTGCGTGGAGGGGGGCATATGCCGATTCCCGGGTCAAATGGTATAGATGGGGCTGGTGTGTTGGTGGCATTGTCCAATTTGACGGGGTTGGCGTTATCGTATGATCAATCTATTGTATCTGTTGGTCCGGGAAATCGTTGGAGAGATGTATATGCATATCTCCAGCCGTTTGGGCTTGCGGCTGTGGGGGGTCGCGTGGGGCATGTTGGCGTGCCGGGCTTGTTGCTTGGAGGGGGGATATCGTTTTTTGCCTCCGAGTATGGGTTTGCGTCGGATAATGTGGTTGGGTATCAGGTTAGTTCTATCACTCTCATTTTTCTTTTCCATATTGCTGACGGGAATAAGTGTGTTTTGGCTAGCGGTCGCATCGTCGAAGTAACAGCTACAAATGCCTACGCTGATATCTTCTGGGCCTTGCGCGGTGGCGGTAACTCCTTTTGCATTGTTACGAGATTCGATCTGCGGCCGGTACAAGGAAGTCATGTACACGTCGGCATTGCACAGTTTAACCAATCCCAAGCAAACGGCTATCTAGACGGCGTGTATAATTTCGGAAAATACGGCGGACCGTCTGATGCCAAAGCAGCCATTATTCCGACCATTGTCACTGTGCCGGCCGCAAACATAACCGTGTACGCAGCTGCAAAGTTCTACAACTCCCAGACGGATAATCCAAGGGTTTTCGAGAACTTCACCGCCCCCAGGCTCGTTCCTATGGCCGATTCCTACACCCTGCAGCCGCTATCCGACTACATCGCGCTGACAGATTCGTTGCAACCTCTCGGGTTACGCCAGACATTCCGCACCTTATCTATAGTTGTCGACCGGGAAGCCATTCAGATCATACACGACACCTTCACTTCCCTCGTGTACTCGGATTTAGCCAGGATTCCCAACCTTCAAGCTTCGGTCACGTTTCAGCCCATCACAAAGGACTTCCTCGCTCACAGCGCTAAGAACGGGGGTAATCCCCAGGGAATCGATGTCGATGAGGCGCCGTATTTTTGGGTAGTCGAGAATTTTACGTGGGGCGCTGCGGAAGATGATGGCGTTGTATATGCGGCGGCGGACAGGATTACAGTGAGTATTAACAGTCTTCTCCGTGAAAAGTCGTTAGCAGCGCGGTATCTGTATATGAATGATGCAGGGAAGGGGCAGCCGGTATTTGAAAGCTATCCTGCTGCTAATTTGTTGAGGTTGCAGTCAATTCGTGCAAAGTATGATCCGCTAAGGATTTATACGGATTTGATGCCTGGGGGATGGAAAGTAGCTCATGCGAATATTGGATAAGTAAAAAAAAAACTACTTTATTACTAGATTTTTAATATCAGACAAAAATTTCCCATAAATCCCCCCTCAGCGATTCTTATCCTCGTCCTTGCCCGGCCAAACAATATCCCCCCTCCACACCGCCCTCGCACACGCCACAGCCGCAACAATCCAAACCACGACCAGCAAAGCCGTCATAACACTGCCGAGCCAAAGAACCGGCTGACTCTCCATCTCCCTCCCCAACGCACTCGTCGCAAGCGCAAACCCAACATTCGGAAAGATAAACGCCCACCACGCGAGGCTAAACGGGATTTTAGCCCAGGCACTCAGATTCGCCACGAGGGCAAGACCAAACAGCCAAACGGCAAACACGTAGACGAAGACGGAGGAGAAGAAGGCCAGGATACTGAGGATTTCTGGTGCCAAGGGGTGTCTGGCGAGGTAAGTCTGGGTATACGGCTCATGCAGGGCGATTCCCCTCGCCATACCCACGAGCGCCACAACCGTGTACGCGCAACTTCCCACAGGGATGAACATTGCGGGTCTGGCCCGTGGCGGGGGTAAGCCGCGTTCGAGGAGGGAAGAGATGTAGAGGGTGATTGCGATGAGACTGATGCACCAGCCGAATCCTTGGTATGCGACTCCGGATACCACAATGGACATGTGGCGCTGTGCTGGCTGGGTTGCTACGATGAGCGATGCCAGCGTGCCGGTTAGCATGCAGGAGTATCCTGCGAGGAAGATCGCGGGCGAGAAGGGAATGGGGGTGTTTGTGCGGAGGAGGAGGTAGTACTGTAATGTTGCGCCTACTAGGGATACGGCTGCGTAGATCCAGTAGAGGACGTGGATTAGAGATAGGAGACCGGGGGTGCCTGGACCGTGGGTTATGGCGAGGTTTTGTACGCCGCCGATTAAGACGCAGATGGATAGGGTGAAGGCGGGTGTGAAGAGGGATTCTGGGGGTAGGGAGAAGGCGGAGTGGAAGTGGCGGGTGTGCAGGTGGTAGCGGAAGAGGGATAGGAGGGTGAAGAGGAGGAAGAGGAAGAGGGTGGTTAGGTAGAGAGTGAGGGAGATGTGGTATTGGCCTTTTTTTTGAGAGTGTTAGTAATTTTCCTCTTTTTCTCCCTGCATTTTTTTTTTCTCAAATGGGGGGAGGGTGGGAGGGATTGTACTTACCTTTGAATTGATGTGGTGCCTCTCCAATAGCGACGGCGAGACCCCCCGTGCTCATTGTACATAGGAACCAAGCGAATGTGAAATGTTTTACTCTTTGGCGTAGACCTGGTTTACATTTTTCAGGTTCCCGTTGCTCTTGTGTGATTGTTTCGGGTTTCGGTGTTGATGTCATTGCGATGTCGGCGCTTGTGGACGACGACATGGTCTGGCTGTATATCGAGATTGATGGGTGGAGAAAGAGAGAAGAATGAAAGTATATCTTCCAAGTACAGTTTTTTTAAGGCCCCCTAGGTTGCTTCTAAAAACATGATGAACTTGATGCCAACAATCTCGTGCGTGATGAAGGATGTCAGCACGAATTGAGGTTTTGACAGTTGTGAGCAAGATCTCGTAGTCCTGGGTACGATACTAGTAAAGTAAATCCTAGCCGATTAGCAGGAATTACACTAGGTTTCTCCAGATAATCCGAGAGCTTGCGTACCTGTTTTTAGTATATATAAGGAACAAATAGCGGGATGGCAGAAAGTCTGGGGAAAAACCCTGGCTGCCGATGGCCCCTAAAATCTTATCCCCGGTGGTGCTTCCACTTTTCGTATTCCCGGTACCTATAGTACGCCACCCCTCACAGCCGGTAAGGTGGAAATCCCTGTCAAAAACACGCCAACAAACAGGATGAACATTTTCTGAAATTCTAACAGCCATTTCATGACGAAATGGTTTTCATGCAACTTGCTGAATCTTGTCCTTTGCAAGTTGCTTAGTCTGTCTAGCCCTCCATTTGATATCACCAGGCTGCGGCCAGCGATAATTCACCGGCGACTCACCACCCACAAAAATACACGTATCATACAACAAACCACCGCACAGCGCGCCGCTAACAGATGCACCCCAGCAGCCATATGCCCAGTAACCTGTAGAAAAAGCATCCTTGTATCCGACCCAGTATGCCACGAGACGAGGCCCAAGGTCACGCGCCGGTGAAATGCCCAAGCCGGTGTTGTATCCGAGACCAATCATGGTTACCATTCCGGTGAGACCAACGATGAAGGCAGTCATTCCTTGGCCTGGAGGAGAGTTTTGGTCGTCTCCCAGGGCGAAAACGACACATACGAAGATGGCCATGTAGATGAAGTCATTGAAGAAGCCAGTTGCAGTAGAGTAGATGGGTCCTTTGGGGAAGAGAGCCTTTCCCGTCATATCGAGAGTGAGACCGGGATCTACTTCGTGGATGGCGTCATGGTAGACTCTGTTATACATGTTAATTAGTTTGTCGACCAAATTCAAATAAGAGCAATTTAGACTTACGCATATGCGACGGCTCCAGCGGCAAGACCAGCTAATAGTTGCATGCAGATGTAGACGACAGCCATCTTCCAGGGGAAACCACGAAATACCGAAAGTGATATGGATACTGTTGGACTGAGGTGGGATCCACTGACTCCTCCGCCCAGATAGATACCTATCATAACTGCGAATCCCCATCCCCAGGCTTGTGTCTCAAAGCTACCAGTGCTCTGTTGAGATGTAGCAACAGACAAGTTTACGCATAGCCCAATCAAGAGGTATATGAACGTCTGTGAATTGTCAATAAAGCAAATATTTGTTTGACAAGAAGGCAGACATACTGCAAGAAACTCTGCCGGAGCTTGCGGGTACTTTGCTCGGAATCTAGCAATAGGGTTGCGGTATTGGTTATAAAACTCCCTTTCTTCCTCTTCTTTCTGTCGTTGGGTTTCTTTTTCTTCTTCTTTGGTTTGACTAGTTTGACTAGTTTCGTTTGTGGCCCGTTCTTGAAGCGGCGGAAGACCGTCCTGGAGACCAAAGTGTTGCTGGTGTCCACCTCCATCGGCATATCCCAATCCGTGCTCATTGACTGGAGCACGTGTTTGGCCATCGTGGTGCTCGTGGGAGCGGGAGTCTTGATTGTGATTCAAGCCGAGTACTTGGTTGGCTTCACTTGTCGGCACACGTTTTACGTTGACTCTGCGGCCATTGACTACAGTCTGAAATCTGTCTGGGTTTCCTTGACTGTTGGTGTTGCTTCCGGCGTTCAAAGTCTCCTGGGAATCTTCTGAATCTTCTTCTAAACCTATACACGCTCTAGTTAGGGTAGCTGTGGTTTGCAAAAAAGAGCGAAATCTTACCTTTTCCATCCCCAAAGTCAAGGCCGTCCTGCCGTGAGACACCATCGTCCTCGTCGATTTTGTACAAAGATTTACGCAAATCCCCTCGTCCCCACCACATGCCACGACGAACTGTGCGTGGAAGAGGAGCACCCAAACCAAAGACTGGCTTCTGTTTCTGCTCGTTATACCATGGATTCAGGGTGAAGTAATCGTTGTCAACATCGACAACTTGCTGTTGCTTCTTCTCTGGGCGTCGAGGAGGCTCTTGTCTGACATTTTCGCGAGTTGCAGTATTTGAAGGCGTATTCCTGATGCTGCCCATAGGCGCCGTGCTGGTTGCGGTAGTATTAGTGCGAGCATTCGGCGGTCTGGACGTCAAATGAACAGTATCAGGTCTTCCTATGCTCGGTGCATCGGAACGACCGCGATGTAGAACTGTCGAGGCAAGGGATCTCGTTGTCGGTTGTCTCGATTCATTTGTCAGATTGGTGGGTCGTTGAGATGCAGATTCCTCTGGTTGTTGTTGTGCTATTGAAAACTAGGGTGTTAGTTGTCTGAAAAAAAAATTCCAAAGGTTCCTGTCTTGATTGAATCAAAGACATTGATGGATTACTTACTGTTTCCTGGCAAACCAGATTGTTGATGCGACATGGTGTAACTCAGCTGCTATTCTATGTTGCAAAGGTGAGTACGGTCAGATCGACCTTATATTCAGATTACGTTGAGCCTAGGATTCACACAGACAACAGCCATATGACTAAATGGGAAATGGTGGTGCTGCTATTCATGCATGGGAAAGTGAAGAATTGCATGTGCTACGTCACTGGCAGGGAAGCTTTTTGCCTAGTCCGCCCATGTCGCCGGTATTTCCGAGAGTTACCCACGGCTCAGAGACATGTGTGCCAATCGTCTTGGATGATCTTCATAATGAGTGGGTAGAGCCGAACAAGAGCCTCAATTCTCGATACATATTGACTGATAAGGCAATCCTCATCTCGATCCTGAGGCGTTGCGGCTAGTTGTGGCGCTGTACAGATCACAAGTTGAACGGACATCGGCATGGTCAAGTGGAGCTTGTTGGCCTGCACTCGTCAGAATGTGCACGCATGAGAAAATCAAGACTTGGTGTGTCGCGTGATGTTCACACTGCGACAGAAGATGGTACATATACACGGGCAGCATACGAGCAGATGTATGCAAAACGCCATCGGCATTTGATGCAGAACATCAGCACATAGCAGTCGCCGGTCCTTAGTCACCGTCTGCAAGCCAAGCCGACGAATGTGCATAGCAACGGTACAGCAAATAGAGGCTCCACTTTGACTAGCGCATCAGTGTGGAGACGCGGCCATAATTGCTTTACTTGGCCGATGGATAGTGTCCACGGAGACTGCTACATTCCCATGGATATAAGGGTACACTCAAAACCCATATGCTACAATACCAAGGCTCAATGGTCCCGTAGGATCCCATATCGGGGTATTACTATGCGCAACGAATAACTCCGACATTAATGCCACAGGATGGCGTACTGAGCAAACTTGGGTTAGACGCAAGTGCTCTTCTGCTCAAGGTGCCTCCCTCATGATACCGCCATCAACTTGTTCTGTTCCTGCGCCAATGTGAGGCCCTCGGGTGCTTGTCGGAAGAGTACAATCTCGGACTGCTTAAAGTATCGTCGCGCATCTAGATGGTTGTCAGTGGAATGCTCTAGATAGAGGGCGGGAATAGCTCACCTTCGTCAATAAGTACTAGACTGAGATAATATCTGGTCGAGTACTTCTTGTTGACTTCGCGGAAGGTGGGGGTCAGGTCGAAGCCGCCAAGGAATAACCTGATTGGAATTGTTTCACCTGCGATGTGGGTTAGTGGGATTCTTGTCGCAAAGAGTCACATTCATGTACCTCGAGAGGGGGAACCGTCCATGATTTCAAAGCGGACCAGGGTCTCACTTTCGTTGTACTGGTTCGGAGGCGCGCCCGTTGTTTCTCGCCGAATGATGGACAGCTCCATGTGCTTAATCTTTAATCGGACGAGGAGGAAGTATATCCTGCCTACAATGACATCTTTGAGATGGTATTTGGACTTTGAGTACTCAAACTCAATGTGCAAGCAGTCCTCGATGCCGACGTCCATTTTGATGGAGCTGTTTGTCTCTGGGGGGATGCGGTACGAGTAGACCCAGAGGTCCTTTTCGCGAACCACGTCGGCCATTCTGCGGGAGACGGTGACGCGGACAAAATAGCGCAGCTTGACGTTGATGCCATTGTACGACTCGTATTGCTTCTCGACGTTCTTGAAGTTGAAGTCAAAGGTCTGGGGGTGCTGCAGCTCGCCGGGAGCGGCTAGCTCCTGGCCGAGGGAGAGGAACTCATAGTGGTTTCCGCGGTCGAAGAACATTTCTGGGCGCACTACATCAGCCATGCGCGGGGAAGTCTGGGACGGGCGAGGGGCGTACCAATGGTGCCAATGAACTGGACCTTGATGCCGGTGTGCTCGAGGCGCTTGCCATCTTTGGGGCGGACGGTAACCTGGCCCTTGACCGACTCGCCGTCGAGGTAGAGGGGGACTTTCTCCTTGCGGTTCTTGTCGAGCTTGACGTCGACGGCAGAGCGGTCGTCGAGGTCCTCGAGGACAATGTCGATGTCGACCGGGGTGGAGAAGAAGTAGGACATGGTTGGAGTGCGTGATCGCGTCGGCGGCCGACGGGGCTGAGAGCAAGGTGGACGTGTGGATGCGTGGTGCATGCTTTCGTCATACAGCGCTTGTCCATGTTGGGGGCGGGTCACGTGGGCGGTGCCCCGCTTCCCCGTTGGCTACCAAGTGGCCACTGCCACTGTACAAGACTTGGTACGCTGCTGACTGTTGGCTGTTAGCTGTTCGCTGTCCGCTGTTCGCTGTCCGACATGGCTGCTTGTCCGGATTATTTACTTGGTTTCCGTTTCCTGACGATGCCGGCAAACTCAATGGGTCCACGTCACGTCTTACTGCGTCGCGGGTTGCGAGGGTCAGAGGGCAGGGCGCAGTTGTAGGTGGCAGAGGGCAGGCCCTCCACATTCCTACGTAAGTAATGCGAAGTAGGGGGAGGCGGCTGGCCGGGAAGCGCGCGCGAAGCCAGACGTGAACTGGCTCGTATTGGCGGGCAAAAAAAGAAAAGGCAAGCAGATGCGATGGTCGTCTAGTCCTCAGCCTCGACCTGGCCGGGCCGATGGTGTCTCGAGGCCGCGCCGGACCCCCACGCGCCATTATCCAACCGCGTGGTGTGCACGAGTCAAGGCGGTGAGGGCGTATGTGGAGAGGGCGTTCCTGTGCCGTCGTCGGTCTATGGATGGGATGCTACGTCGAGTCCTGCGTAGTGTATAGGGTAGTACAGTGCACACACACACACTTGCCCACGGCGTATAGATCTAAGATTCAGGTGCTACACATCTGCCATGTATGCACATGTATGCATACAGAGCGAGGGGGATAGACGACAGACGGCAGGCAGGCAGTCCGTGGCGATCTAGTGGTAGTCGCCTCCCCAGCCCGACGCGGGGCACTGCATGCTGTGTGACCTGGCTGTGACATATTGTGGATGTAGGTAGGAGGGAGTGGTGGTGGTAGTGGTGGTAGTGGTGGTAGTGGACAGGGCAGGCCAGCCGGTTCCTGAGAGATGGGATGGGCAGTGCGGGGGAAAAAAAGGGAGGGATTCGGGCGCTAGGACTCAGCATGACATCCATCATCCCACACGCGACAGTTGCATGTTCAAAGGCCGAAGCCCTCAACCTCTCCACGCCGGCTGCCCGGCTGTTGCACCCGTCTGGCCCTCGCACCGCCACTAGCTGTCCGGTTCGCGCCGCCATTCGCTGTCGTGGTTGCACGCGTACCATCCTGCCTGGGCCTCCTGAAGCACAACGCCCGCCAGCCCATCCCACCCTTGCCGTCACCGTCATGGCGCGGCGGGCGAAATTTCCAGATGAGCGTCCCCGACTGCGAGCCTTAAAATCCACTCTCCCCCCAGCGCACATTGGGTGCCTTTCTGGTAGATTGCTGACCCTCTGCATCCAAACTAGCCGTTGTCGATACATGTGCGTTTGCAATATCGCATATTAAATCCAGCCCAAGTCCCGTTTCCGGTTTCCTGCTTGCTGCTACCTGGCTGCCCAACTCAAACACCTACTCACTCACTCACTCACTCGCAAACGCCCTCGACTGCACCTTACTTATATTCGCCCGTCCCCCGCCCGTCTTCTTGCTGCCGCTCCAACGCCATGATGCAAACCATGGAGCAATCAGTCCCCGCCCCCATACAATATGTATCGCCGCCCACGCCTCCCGCCTCAAATACCGGCTCGCCATCCACATCGTCGCCTGCCCTCGCCGACACAAAGACGGCTCAAATGACCATCCCCGCCCACCACCACATCCTCATTGTCACCGGCCCTGCAGGCTGCGGCAAGAGCACCATTGCCAAGCATCTGTCCGATCGATATGGCTTCGACTACATTGAGGGTGATGAGGTAAGTCGCCTTGCCCGATGCCGCCTAGCGCCTGCTAACTGCCCCACAGTTCCACCCAAAAGCAAACATTGACAAGATGGCCGCCGGCATTCCCCTCAACGACGAAGATCGCTGGGATTGGCTCATCCTGCTGCGCGACCAGGCCCTCACCGCTCTCAACAACGGCTCGCGTGGCGTCGTCGTCACCTGCAGCGCTCTCAAGAAAAAGTACCGCGACGTCATCCGCACCGCCAGGCTCTACGACCAAGACCCAAATGCCAACGTCCACTTTGTCTACCTCCGCTCCGACATGGAGACGCTGCTCTCGCGCGTCCGTGCCAGGCAAGGCCACTACATGAAGGACGCCATGGTCGCCAGTCAGTTTGCTGCCCTCGAGGAGCCCGACGAGACGGAATGCAAGCAACTCAAGGACGTTGAGATTATCGACGTCAAGGGAGGCATCCAGGACGTCCAGCAACTAGCCAGTGCTGCTGTCGACAGAATTCTGGCACAATAGCATTCTGCCCGCAAAGTCAGCCGGCTCTGATGATGTGTAAAACAAACAAAAAAAGTTTCTTTTTTTCTCTTGTTCTTCTCACCTGGGGGTCGACATCAACTCGATTGCCCAGCAGCGTAGCGAGGGGTTCTTGGTTTCTTCTTCATTCTTGGGTAAAGGGCGTAACAGTTTTAATTATACCCTTATGACATGGGCTGGTAACACTGCATATGCGGAGCTTTTTTTCCGAGTCCAGACGCAATACACATTCATACATACATACGTACATTTACAATAAGTAACACTACTGGTCATTTCACAGCCGTGAGCCTCACACACATGCATTAGTCGTGCAGTCTCCACTCCCGACATGCAACTGATTCACGACTAACACTCCTCATGTCTAGTCATGAATCTCGTCCATCTGCCACCCCAAACTGCCGCCGCGGCTAAACCGGGAAAAGAAGTAGAGAACAACAACGTCGTCGGAAACAACTCGTCCGTTCACGGCCGGAAACAGCTATCCCGACTTTCGTCTTTACATTATGCCCCCCCACATGTTCCGATAGAACAGGAAGACAAATGATCAACCGAGACAAACTCGCACCGGGGGACTAGTCTTATCGGGAACCCTACTTGCTACCCTGAGTTAAGGCCGCCGCCGTCCCATCCCCCACGTGCGCATTTTGTTCACACCAAAAAGTCTCCGCATACTAGAGTTATTTATAGGGTTTGTTTGCCTGTTTGGGGTGTAGCGGCTTGGCGGTTTGGGGACTTGGGTTGGAGGGTGGTAACATGGCTGTGCGTGTACTTGGAAGCGGTGGACTATCGTTTTATTTATATATCGTGGTATATTACGACCATTTTTGTTCGTCTTTGAATTATTTAATTTTTGTTAATAACTAGGGAAAAGGGGGGGATGCGGAAATTAATGGGATAGATAGAAATGAGAGATTGTTGTGAGTTTTCTTGGTGCCTAGTACTAAAGCAAACACATCTTACTAGGCGTCCTGCCTAGAAGAGTGGCTTTTGCTGTGTTACTACTATATCGTTACTCAGCCCTTTTTCTCCACTCCAGGGAAGGGGCTATGGCGACGCGGTGCCAAAGCGAGTTTCAGGTCCAGGGTTGAAGAATGAAAATTTTTGAGGGCGCAGCAAGGTTGCTTGGCTGCTGTTGTGGAAGGGAAGGAATGAAATAAAGCGCGATTGCTGGTTTGTTTTACTCTGATGATATCTCACTTGTGTCTCTCTTCTCTTTTACCTTTTTTTTTCTTCATCATATTGTCGAGCACGTCACTTGTTAATACGTGGCGTAAGCAGTGTACACTGCACTTCACAGCACCATGGCCGAGACATCTTCAACACTGATACTGGTCCCCCGCTTCGCTGACTTTACAACAACGGCGCCTGCGACTAGCATGACTGGATCACCTGCTACTCAACCTTTCTCTACACCTGAATACGACAATGGTGTCTCGCCAGTCCCTATACAAGTCGTTGTCGGCGCCCCTGTTGTTGCGGTTGTAGGGCTGGCGGTGCTGGTAGCCATCATTGTATTTTTTGTGAGAAGGGCTGCGGCAAAGAAGCGGGAAGCGAGGGCTGTGGGGGAAGATGGAGGGAAGATAGTATATGATACTGATGACGAATCGGTTATAAGTGGTTATGGGAAGGAGGTGGGGGAGGCGAGGGTGAATTAGGGCAACGAGTGTAGCAGCAAGTTCTTTACCTGAAACTTCCATGGAAGATCTTAGTACGAACTTCTCGGCCTTGATTAGTTGCGGGGTTGGTGTTCTGGAGGCGCATACAAGCTACTGCGTGAGATGGAAGGATATTTGAGCGCTATTTATAACAAGTGCCAGAGGGAGTTGTTGTTAAGGATCTCGAACGCTATAAAGTCCAGAGTACGCACAGGCTTGATTAATCATTAATTTATAATCGTCTCCACGATTAATCGCTCAAATTTGCAAGTTATTTTGTTGCATGGCCATGCACTTGACATGATTGTTGCAAAAAAATTCCGATAACAATGGGATTCGTCTTCTACGATGCATATCAATTCCACGATCCGATAGGCCGGGACAACCGCATCAGGGAAAAAGTCGCCGCAATTTTCATTGGTGAACGTGGCGACGGCAAAGGGCTGCAATACGACTTTGTCTGGACCCTACCCGACGCCATGTTAACGCTAATGACTCTGCGTCTGTGTCGACCTTTTTTTTCAGTGGTTGTAAAGTGGAGCGGGAGACGCGAAGAGCACTCTCGAACCGCCACGGAACCTGCGTGCGGAGAAGGCAAAAAATTTGAACAAAAGTTGCAAACGGGCTCAACACTCGACTAGTTTGAGTTTAGCGCAGAGGAGAAAAAAAAGACCAGACATGATAGTCTTTCAGCAAGCAATGACAATGGCAAAACGTGAAAATGACATGGTTTTCTTGTCATGACGACTGGGAGGATATATGGACTGATACATAGACATATGTACTTGGATGTACATGGATACTTACGTATGTAGGTACACCATAGCCGGCCCAAATGGATAAAGTACAGTTCCTACAGAGTGGAGAGGCGAATGCAACGGCCTGTCTCCCCCGGCACGCTCCGCCGTAGTGCATGCTGCATGCATACTCAAGTAGACGAAGCGAAACATGTGATTGCTCCATGGTTCAAAGTCTTATCGAGCTGCCCTGCCCGTTGACGCCATATTGCGAGCAGGCGGGGTATAGAAGCGTATGGATGCAAGCAACAAGACGTTGGACTCAAATGGCCCATCCTATCCCATGGCTGTAGCGACATTGGCAGCACCAGGGCAGGGGTTCGCTAGCGGCGGATGACGTACCGGCAGCCGTTGCAAGGTTGCCCGACCCACGCTGTTCCGCCAAAATTTTATGCCATTGCACCCGCCCCTCTCCAAAGTAAGCTCAATTCCTGGCTAAGCCATGCCATCCTTGCTTATCTTGCGGCCCGTCACCATGATACCTGACTGGATCCGCCAAACCACGGTGCGCAGAAGCCAGAATCGCGTGCCATCTCCAGGCGATTGCGAGACAGTTGCTGCTACCATCGTCCATCCACCATCCGCACTACCCTAATAAACCCTCACAGCGCCTGCCCGCCCATTCATTTACCCACCTGGACCGCGCCCTTTCCCTCAATCCGGCACTCTGTCTTCTCCACTTAAACTTTCCTCGCTCAGGACATGGCCTGTTGACTTTGACCCGACCGTCGTTTCTTCTCCTTTGACTTGGGCGCAATGCCTTCTCGTCTCTTTGCCCGCGACGCGCCCGCCGCCGACCAGCAACCCCAGCTGCCTTTTACTGGCGACAACACAAACGACGCCGACTTTGCCTACGACCAAGCGCACGCCGAGAATGGCGGCCACAGTCTTCCACGCCGGATACGCGGCCAGTCGATTGCTTCTGGTGCCCTCTCTGGCTCGTACACGCGCAATCCCATCCGTTCCTTTGCCCACCAGACGTCACACAGCTTTGCTGGTCCGTATTCGAAGCCTCGTCTCACCCATTGCCAGCACTCACTGACTGCCTTGCAGATACCCCACACTACTCGTCCCAGGGCGTGCGCGAGAGAAGCTC